ACCTTGCCAGGCCAGGGCTTTCCAAGTTTTGTGTCCCTTCAAATGGTTGCCAGATACCCTAGGGTCACTTTTTATCCCTCCTCTCCTTTTTTTTTTTTTTTTTTTACAGAATCTAAAGTAGCTCAGGCTTGGTCTCAGACTCACTTCACAGAGAAGACTGATCTTGAATGTTTTTTCCTCTGGCCTCTAGCTTTCCAGCGCTGAAATTAATCATGTATTACCATACTGGGCTTATGTGGTGCTGGGATCAAAACCGGGGCCTCCAGGGCTGGAGTGACAGACAGCTCAGCAGTTAAGAGTACTGCCTGTTTTTCCAGAGGACCTGGGTTACAATCATAACACCCTACCTTCTTTCTGTAATTCCACTTCCGGGGGTGGGGGGTCCACTGCTGTCTTCTGGTCTCCTTGGGCAACAGGCATGCAATTGGTGCAAAGATATACATGCAAGCAAAACACCTATCCAAATAAAATAAAACGTTAGCGCTGGGGTGGTGCTTTAATCTCAGCCCTTGGGGAACAGGGGCAGGCAGATCTCTGAGCTTGAGGCCAGTGTGGTCTACAAAGTGAGTTCCAGGACAGTCAAGGCTATGCAGAGAGACATGAACAAAACAAAACAAAAGTAAAAACAAAAAAAAATGAGGTAAATAAGTATATAAATTAGTTTACAATAAAATAAAAATAGAAAACAAATTAAAATAAAAACCCGGGACTTCAGACAGGCTAGGCAAGCACGCAACTGATCTTTATCTACTGAGCAACATCCCCGCTTCCCTTTGCTTGAGACAGTCGCATGTGGCCAAGCTGGCCTCAGACTTGCTGTGCTGAATGCTGGGATTTCAAGCATGCTCTTTATCCGGCACCTCATTTTCTGATGTCATTCGGAAGCTGCTGAAGGGCAGTGGACACCTAAAGCCCTGGTCTGTAGAGGATGCTTCTCTTCACCTTCCATCCTCCACATCCTCCCTCTGGACCACAAAATCTACTTCAAATCCCTCAGGCCTCATCGTAGAGACACTTAACCCACCGGACCCTAGCATTTAAGTCAGTTCTTCTAGGAGGAGTGTAGTGGAGAACATGAGGTACGAGAAGCCACTTGGGGAGGAAAGGATTTCAGCTCACATGTTCTAATCACAGCCCATTCATGAACGGAAGGAAGTGAGGACAAGAGCATCAGGAAGGGGACTAGAGAGATGGCTCAGCACTTAAGAGCACTGGCTGCTCTTCCTGGAAGATCCAGGTTCTGTTCCCAGCTCCCATGTGGTGGTTCATGACCATCCACAACGCCAGTTCCAGGGGGTCTGACTACCTTCTTCTGACTTTCTGGGGGACCAGATACACACATGTACATACATGCCTATAAAGCTCTCCCATACAAAAAAACCAAACCAAAACAAAACAAAAACACAAAAATCCAAAGTAAAAGCCTTAAGCCAGGAACCTGGAGGAAGGGCATGAAACAGAAGCTACAGAGGAATGCAGGCTTGCTCCTCATGGCTTGCCCAGCCTCTTTTCTTTTTTTTTTCTTTTTTTCTTTTTTTTTTTTTTCTTTTTGAGACAGGGTGTCTCTGTGTAGCCCTGGCTGTCCTGGAACTCACTCTGTAGACCAGGCTGGCCTTGAACTCAGAAATCCGCCTGCCTCTGCCTCCCAAGTGCCGGGATTAAAGGCGTGGGCCACCACTGCCTGCAGCCTATTTTCTTATGCAACTCAGGGTCACCTGCCTGGGAGTAGCACCGCCCACAGTGGGCTGGACCCTCCCACATCAGTTATTAAGGAAAATGCTCTGCAGATCTGCCTGCAGAGCAATCTTATGGAGGTATTTTCTCAAGTAAGATTCTCTTTTCCCACATCTGTCTAGATTTGTTTCAAGTTGCCAGAAATCAACCCTGTTTGCTATTGTAAAGGTGGAGAAATGGTTCAGCTCCTTTTCCAAAGGACCAAGGTTCAATTCCTAGCATCCACTTGGCAGCTGATCATTAGTCTGTATTTCCAATACCAGGGGATCCTAATACCTTCTCCTGGCCTCCACAGGCATTGAGCTCACGTGGCACACAGACATACATTCAGGTAAAATGCTCATACACATAAAATAAAAACAAAATCTGAATCAAAAGTTTTAAAGCAGCTGGGCAGTGGTGGCACACGCCTTTAATCCCAGCACTTGGGAGGCAGAGGCAGGCGGATTCCTGAGTTCGAGGCCAGCCTGGTCTACAGAGTAAGTTCCAGGACAGCCAGGGCTACACAGAGAAACCCTGTCTCGAAAAAACAAAAAAACAAAACAAAACAAAAAATCAAAACAAAACAAAAAAAAAGTTTTAAAGCCAATTCGATTTAAACACAAGTGACTGAAGGGATGTCCCAGCTTGTTGGAGCACATTCTGCTCTCACAGAAGGCCCACTGTGTCTTCCAGCTCACAGGTGACTGTAACTCAGCTCTAGGGGATCCAACACCATCTTCCAGCATCTATGGACATGTGTACACACACAGACACACATGAATAAATAGTAAATCTTTAGGGCTAGAAAGAAAGCCACCGTTAGAAGCATTTGCTGCGCCGGGTGGTGGTAGTGCAGGCCTTTAATCCCAGCACTTGGGAGGCAGAGGCAGGCGGATTTTTGAGTTCGAGGCCAGCCTGGTCTACAGAGTGAGTTCCAGGACAGCCAGGTCTACACAGAGAAACCCTGTCTCGAAAAACCAAAAAAAAAAAACAAACAAAAAAACAAAAAAAAAAAACCATTTGCTGTAAATTCAGTAAGACCTGCGTTTGGCTCGTGGCATCCACTCGGTGGTTCACAACTTCCTGTGGTTCCAACTCCAAAGAATAGGATGCTGTCTTCTGGACCCTAGGAGGCACCAGGCATGTACATGGTACATGTACATTCATGCAAAGACATACATGTAAGCAAAAAAACAAATCTTTATTGTTTTTTACAAATATGAGTGCTCTGTCTGCATGTACACCTGCTTACCAGAAGACAGCATCATATCATATTATGGCTGTGAGCCACCATGTGGTTGCTGGGAATTGAACTCAGGACCTCTGGAAGAGCAGATAGTGCTCTTAACCTCTGAGCCATCTCTTCAGCCCTTAAAAAACAAATCTTTTTTTTTTTTTTTTTAAGTTTTGACAGGGTCTTTGTAACCCTGATTGTCCTGGATCTGGCTATATAGACTAGGCTAGCCTCAAATTCACAGAGCTCTACCTGCCTCTGCCTCCTGAGTGCTGATATTAAAGGTATGTACCACACAGCAACTGGCCAAAGGTTTAGTTTGTGTGCATGGTGTTGCAAAACTTTTATCCCAGAGATCAGGAGGTAGACAGAGGCAGGTACACCTCTGTCATTTGGAGGCCAGCCTAGTCTGGTTTATATATTGAGTTCCAGGCCAGCCGAGGCTACATACAATGAGACTGTCTCAAAGCAAAACAAGGCTGGGGACATGGTTCGGTAAAGGCACTTGCTACCAAGCCTGACAACCTGATTCCAATCTGAACCTACATGGTGTAAGGAAGATCTGAAGTAAATTGTTCTCTGATCTCTACACATACACCAGTATGACACGGGTGCACACATATACTTGCACACACACACGCACATAATAAACACTACAAAATTAACAACGAAACCCATTCCTGATGCCCTGCTGTAGGGTAGCAATCAACTACCCTGGCACCACAGTATTAGAAGATCCGGCACCTTTCAGACAAAGCAGCTTTTAGCACCGGCTGGTTTATCGGGCATTTCCAAGGCCGTCTAGTCTAGCTTCAAGTACTGCACTTGGCAAGTATTTGTGGAATCTACACTTTTTATATTCGATGTTTGTCCTCCCTCGCCCAGTTCCAAGGCTAGCGCTCCGTGACTTTGTACAAACTAGAACAAAAACCAGAGGGGTAAAACCCCTCTCATGTCTGACTTCCCTTTACAAGGAAATGGTCTTGGAGATGAAGACAGCTCTGTGGTATTGAGGCTGCCTAACAGGCATAGGTCCTGGGTTTGACACCACCAGACCCAAAGGCTGGTGAGGCTAGCTCAGCAGAGGCAGGGAGTTTGACTCCCCAGGATCCACACAATGGAAGAAAAGTTATCCTATGAACTCTACACACACACACACACACACACACACACACACACACACACACACTCACACACCAGATTTCCCTGACCTCAGTGAAGTTTTAAGAATTCTAGGGCCAGATACAGCCTTTAGTCCTGGTACTAAGCAGGCAGAGGTAGGTGGATCTTTGCCATTTCCAGGCCAGCCAGATCCACAGAATGAGTTTCGGGACAGCTTGGGGCTATACAGTGAGACCCCGTGTCAAACAAAACAAAAAAGTAATTACAAACAACTCTGAGTTTATAACTCTTTGAAGTTGTGCAATGTACAATCTGCAGAGTTCTGCAGGTTTGTTCCTTCCTCAGTACAGGAGGACAGAAGGAATCGACAGTCTTTACACAACTGGACCCAGGTTCTTCTCTGAGGTAGGAATAAAACCCTGCCAGCCAGGCCCCTTTACAGCCAACTGTTGCATGTGGGTCAGGGCTGCAGGTGGGCAGGGGGTGGCATCGTAGACGTGTGTGCATGCCCTTCTACCCCAACTCCCACGGTATAGAAACAAAGCCCCAAGTAGAAGGCAGAATCCAGAAGACTAGTCAACTTTTTTGTGGGGAGGGGGTATTGAATACAAGGACTCACCATGTAACTGTGGCAGGCCTGAAGCTTGCAATGCAGACTAGGCTGGCCTCAAAAAACAAAACCATACACCTTCTGCCTGCTTCTACTTCCTGGGTACCCCGGTTAAAGGCATGGGTGGCTACTCCCTGTGGAGGTAGCCCGCTTTAAGTGAAGCCATAGGAAGAGTGTTCTGCAAAACTGTCTGGCTTGACACCAGGTCGACAGCCCCACAGGGCTCCGCAATGTCCACAGAGGGGAAGAAGTGGATGGCATAGACTCGGGACTAGATGGAACAAGGTTCACAAATAGACACAGAGACAGGCTCTTTACAAAAGAACCAAGAAAACCCTGGGATCAACTTTATTGCTGATGGGTGCAGCCCCCCCCCCCCGCACCCTTGGTCTCTCCAGCGGTCCAAAGCCTCCACAGGACAGCACAGTGCTTCGGCTCCTCGAGGCCAGAGGCAAGGAAGACGACCTGTGTCCAGAACCTACCCCTGGCCCAGTCTCCCAACTCCCACCCACCCTATTGCACATCAAATCATGTAAACATGGCTTCAGGCATGGCCTGGAACAGGATTGAGGCAGATAGATGTGTAAACGTATTTGGGACCAGGAACTAGAGCGAGTCCCCCAGCTCCACTGGATGCTCAGGCCACAGCTACATCTGAAAAGGCAGGAGGCCGGTCGGGTCCCAAACTCTGGCTCAGATTAAGCAACAGTACAGACGGTCTGTCCCCTCTGTCACCCACTCTCTCAGATTCCAGGTCCCGAGGTCCAGCCACCTAGGGCTCTCCTCCAGACCTGGGCAGTGCCCAGTTTTCTCCTTCTCAACCCTCAGCTGGAGCTCATTGATGCTGTTTCTTCCTAGAAGCCCGAGGGAAACCGGAGACAGGCAGTGGCAGTCTGTCCAGCCCTGGAAGACAGAAGGTAGGCTGTGAGAAGGGGCACAGGTCAGCTCCTCAGAGGGGAGGCGATAGGATAGAACAATGGGTCAAACAGGTGGGTAAACAGGTAGCACCTCCTCTTCCCTGCTGGGGCCACCCCTGCTTCAGAAGGAGCTCCCCCGCCACCCTCCACCAACCAGCCCACACTCTCTTACCAAAGGCTCGAATCAGTTCTGCCCTCACAGCTGCAGTGAAGGTCTTCACCAGGCAGAGTGTGGTGAGGCCGGCAAAGGCTGCATTGTAGAGGAATACGATGTAGAAATTGCCTAACCAGTTGAAGCGTCCAAAGTCACCCAGCAGGTCAAACCGTGTCAGCCCTGAAGTACAAAGTCCGCCATCAGAAGGGGGAATTCCCCCAGCCCTCTCCTCAAAGGAGCCCAACTTTCTGCTGCCTCCTAGTGGCCATGACTGAACATCACAACTGTTACCTAGCATCTGTGATGCATGCCTTACAAGCCCATCCCCAGGCCAGATCAGGCCGACTCAACCGATCAATCAGCCAATCAGCGCTGCTGTTCCTCCTCCCAGAGACTTGTTTGTATCTTTTCCTTCAGCAGGGCTGCTGCTGGCCTCAGGTTATTCTAGGTTCTCAGGATTATAAGTGGCTCCTGACTAGGAAGCTACACATTGGCAGAGTGCAGTCATCACATTGCTTCCTATCCCAGTCCCACTTCTAGACAGCCGGCTAACACCGGCACGCTCCTTACACGCTCGGGACCTGTTTCTTCTATGTAAACAGAGAAAACAGCGGACTACGATAATGAAGGCAGTGTACACTTGGTCTGCTTGTGCCAGGCACTATTAAACCACCCACCTCTGAGACAGTCTCCTGTCTGGACTATGCAGCTGAGGATGACCAACAGCTTGTCATTCTGTTACCACTAGCTTTCCAGGACTGTAAGTGTAAGTCACCATGCCTAACTCCTTCTAAACCCCTGTCACAACATTTTCAAGTCCTAGACCTGACCCCCCATTTAAATACACATTCCTACTGCATCTATCCTGGACTAAATGATGGACCAGTAGGCCTAACTTCCTCCACGTTCTCGTGTCATAGAAGAGAAAGCACGTGTTGAACACTCCTATTACAAAATCACAAATGTGGGCCAAGAGAGATGGCTCACGGGTAGCTACGTGCTGCCAGCCTGAGTTTAATTCCCCACATGGTCCAAGAGAAGAACTAACTCCTGGAAGTTGTCCTCTGATACAGTTCCCACCCACACATAAATGTAATTTTAAAAACTCAAAAACAGGTATTAAAAGAAAGAGTTCCCGGCACTACGGAAGCTCAGACAGGATGATTAGTAAGACCTGGACAGTTTTCTTTTACATTAGGTTTTCCTAATGTAGCTGAGGTCTGAAACTCCCTACTAAGTTCAGATTGTCTACCCCCACCCCCACTACTCACCAAGGGTTCTAGAGAAGACAGGGAGTGCTGAGCTGAGGACCAGGAGGCAGACACAGTTTCCGATTATCTGGATGAGAGCAGAGAAGAGGCAAAGTTGGCAAGAGCCGACAGCGCTGCTGGGTGCAGTGGTCCCTGCCTTTAATCCCAGCATTTGGGAGGTAGAGGCAGGAGGATCTCTGTGAGTTCCAGGACAGCCAGGCTGTTACACAGAGGAACCCTGTCTCGGAGGGGGTTGGGGGTGGGTGGGTGGGGGTGGGCAGCGGAGATGGGGGGAAGAGACTATCAAAATAAAGCTGCCAGCTTGCAGCACTCCTGCCACCCCCCTCCCGCTAGCTACCTGTGTCATAGATGTGTCGTGCCACCTAGGTCTCAGGCTTCCGAAGAGTGGAGAGCTGTAGAAACCCACCACTGAGGACACCATCAGGTAACTGCCACTGGGTTAGGGAAGAACCTGCTAGCTTCTAAGAAGTAATGACTGCCTCTCAGGCCTGTTCAAGATCAAGGTTTTCTGTGTGGTGTAGACACGTGTGCGCAGAGGGCCACAGGTGGAAACGGGGTATCTTCTGTCATTCTCCCGTTACCTACTATTACGCTGTATGCCTGTGTACATGCATGCCACTGCACATACAGGTGTGCACACACAACCTCAGGGGTCAGTTCTCTCATGACACTGGGAGTTCCCAGAGACAGAGCTTGGGTTGTCAGGCTTCTTGCATAGCAGGCACTTTTATCTACTGAACTGTCTTTTTAAAACAACATTTCCTAGGGCTGGAGGGATGGCTCAGCAGTTAGAGCACTGGCTGCTCTCCCAGAGGTCCTGAGTTCAATTCCTAGCTCAAAACCGTCTGTAACTCCATTTTCTGGGGTTCTAACACACATATGGGCAAGACACCACTGCACATAAAAACAAACTACTTAGAAAGACATTCGTCTAGTTGTGGGGAGGGGAAGGTATGTGTGTGTGGATGCAGATGCCTGCAGAGGCCAGAAGAGAGTGTCAGGCCCACACTGGAGTCAGACAGCACTGAGCCACTTGGCCTGGGTGCTGTGACCTGAACTCAGGCTCTCTGGAAAGAGCATCAGGCACTCAGGAACAGCCGAGTCCTTGCTTGCTGAACCATCCTGCCAGCCCATTCCTTACTACTTTTTGGGACAGGGTACTTCAATCCTCAAGTTTGGCTAAACTGAGTCTTGAACAAGCCACCGGGATCTTCCTGACTGTGCTTCACAGACGGAGTTATCTCCCCAGTCCTCAAGACCAAGTGTGTCCTTTTTTCTGAACCCGTTAGATGAAGATGTACGGCCTCTCTAGTGCTCCTCCCCAGTGCTCCCAGGGGTCTATTAAGAGTCCTGGGAAGCAGGTTTGGTGGGCAGAGGCCACGGGAGTTTCCAGAAGGATACAAGATCAGCACGACCTGGATGATGGCGCCAAAGGATCCCAATTTGGAGAAGGAGACCTGGCCCAGGGCGGCATCCTATGAGGTGGTGGAGGTGGCATTAGTGAAAGACATTCCCACCGTGAACACCAGGACCACCCAGCCTTTCCTCTGTCCTCCACTCTGTCTCTCTCTCCAGCCTCCCCCTTGACCAAATAGCTTATTCTGGAACCCATGGCAATCGGCCTGCTTCAGGTAGTCCGACAGCAGGAGACAGTCCAGCCTCCCTGCCCTTTCAGAAGGAAGCCCCCAAGAGCCATACCTGCATGCCCCGTGGCATGGCAGCCTCGTCAATGAGCAGCTCCAGGATGTGGACGGCCACAATGAGCACAGACAGGCCCTGTGTGCAGAAGGCCACCAGCTCCCATCACCCCACTCCTCCCACAGCTGAGCCCGGTGCAGGGTTACAAACACTCTCTTTAATTTAGCACTTTCAGTTTGCTTCCCTCTAGCTGCTAGCATCACAGCACTTTGAGGATGTTACTCAACAAACTGCTTCCAAATGGACGGACTACAAAAGCCTAACTAGGAGAATACCTACAGGGTTGGGGGAGGGGTAGCTCTGCAGAGCACTCTACTAACATGTGCAAATTCCAGGATCAATCTCCAGCAAAGCCCCCACCCCCCATGATCTAGGAAAAGATACCTTTTAAGATTATTCCTGAAGTCCTAATTTATTCTCACTCCAAGGCATATCTGCATACCTTCCCAGTGACTTTGTGATTTGGGGCAACATGGGGACTACAACATGGGGACTGATGTGCTCGGGACAGCACATAAAGTTGGCCCTTTTAGTGGCAACGTCTACTACGGATGACAACGTACATCTCTTTTCCTCCCTGAGGAAGCTAAAGTACCAAGGACCCACTTACTCCCAGGCCGTGCCACCAAGGCTAGTAAACCCACCGTCAACACCAGCAAGCACAGCATGGCCAGAGGGTAGCCCAGGTTCCGCTGCCAGGCTGACGCTTTCCGCCGCTTTTCTGTGCAGGGGTGGGATGTTGTTAGTAAGTACTTGGAACAAGGACCTACTCTCCTTGGGTAAACTACCAGGCCACGTACCCAAGAGGACCCTCTGTGCCTGCAGAGCCAGGACCTGTCTATGCAGCAGCTCCATGTCCAGCGGCAGCCAGCAGGACGTGGGATCTGAAGGCAGAGGACATACTTCCCTCCAGTACTCAGTCCTTGCCAAGGCCAGGCCACCACCACCCAGGCAAGGGGAGGTTTAGACTCACTGCAGATTCTTCGAGTCAGAGCTGCCTCCTCAAAGGCTGAGCAGTTCAGCTGTTCCTCCAGGTCTTCCAGTAGCTGAGGGCAGCGGACAGGGAGAAGCTGTCAGAGGCTCCCTGATCCCGACAGCTCTCCTACATCTCAGTGTTTCCTCTAACTCAGATGCACCATCCTGTGCCCAGCAGCTTTGTCCTATCCCTTCCAATTCCCTGTGTTCTGATCAGCTCCATGACAGGGGTGGGGGTGGGGGAAGGGTGTGGCCTCCTACAAGCTGCGCACAACACAATGCAGGGCCATTTCATGGTTCCGCCTCAGATGCAGGAAAGTGACCCTGCGCAAGAGGCAAGGAGCACTACATACCCGGGGCTTGACCAGCAACTTCCCAGTGACGGAGAACATGCGGGCGAGACCTAGTGGAGTGCACACTGTGGGCACAAGAGCTGGTCAGTCACATGCCAGACCTTTCACTCCCTCCACATCCCTCCCCCAACCCTTCCCCTTCCACCCTAACTGTAGCCCAAGATGTCTTCTTCCTCTCCCAGATTCTGACACTCACCCAGGAGCAGCAGGACTCCGAGGAAGGAGATACAGGAATAGAGATAGGGGAGGTAGTACTCCCAGAAGTCTAGGACAATAAAAGCCATGTCAGCTTGTCCTGCTCATGTCTGATCTCTAGGAGGTGACAGGGCGCAGGGTCTAGACAAGAACGCATCTCAGACACCTACAGTCAAGTAGCACAGATGGGACAGCTGGCCCAGAGATGGGGCAGCAGGTACACTAAGGATCCTCATTCATATAAAAGGACAGCTGTCGTCTGATGCAGGCGACCAAGGGTAAGTATAGCCAGATCCTCTCCCACATCAGGCAAGGCAGATATTACCATGAAACTTCTCAATGCTAAGATGGGAGGCCAGGTATGGTAACATACACCTGTGATCCTAGGAGAACCAGGATGTTCAAGTGGAAAGTTTACAACTGTTTATCATCTATTATTCATATATTTGAAAACAGGTTTCACTAGTAGCCCCCTGGCTGGGCTGGAACTCAGAGATTCACTTGCCTTTGCCTCCGGAATGCTGGGATTAAAATCGTGTACTACCATGCCTGGCTGATTACCTACCTTTTAAATCACTGTGTGGCCCCAAGGGGATATCTCTGTGTGCTGGATGTGTACACAGTCTATCCAGCCCATGTTCTTTTGTTTTTAAGACAGCACTTTCTCTATAGCCCTGGACAGCCTCAAACTCATTATACAAACCCACGACCCCACAGCAGTGACCCTGACTAAGTCTCCTGAGCTCAAATTACAAGCTCTAAAGAGTCAGTCTTAGGAGGTATGATGGGGAGAGGGGTGGCTCAGTGGTTAAGACCACTTAAGAGCTGGCTGCTCTTCCAGAGGACCCAGGTTCAGTTCCCGGCACCCACAAGCCAGCTCACAACCACCTGTAGCTCCAGTTCCAGAGGATCCAATGACCTCTTCTGGTTTCTGTAGGCACTGCACAGATGTGGTTCACAGACAGGGAAAATACACATACACACAAAAGCAAATCTTTAAAAGAGAGGAAAAAGCTGGAGCTCTGTTTTGGTTTAGATATAAAATGGGCTTTCAAAACTTGAATGTTGGGCCAGGCAGTGGTGGTGCATGCCTTTAATCTCAATACTCAGGAGGCAGAAGGAGACGGATCTCTTGAGTTCAAGGCCAGCCTAGCCTACAAAGTGAGTTCCAGGACATCCAGAGCTACACAGAGAAACACTGCCTTTGTTTGAAACAGTCAAACAAAAAAAACAACACTGGACTGTTGAAGACCTGGTGGCCACTGCAACGCGCAGAGCTTAGCATGCACAGTTCGTGAACTCGGCAGCACCTGAGGTTCGTCACACACCGAGACTAGCTGCAGGAGCAGAGCCTGAGACCTCTGAAGCCACGGGAGCCAAAACTTCCCCCTTTAAATCAGTGACAGACAGTTTAATTCTCACCATAGAGTGACTCCCTGCTGGCCTTGTCATTGTCTACAATGGCAGATGCCACCCACACCATGCCCAGCACAAGCAGAGTGAGGAGTATCAACATCACCACTGTCTCGTAGACCCGGCCCAGGACGCCCTACAACAGGAAGAAACGGTTAAAGCCGAGGAGGGGGTCAACGTCAGGAAGGAAGGAGACACTGGAACTATGCCTGGGCTTGAGGACTGAGGATTCAGAGACAGGAAGAGTGCTTCTCTGTATTCACTTGTAAGCCCCACCCCCAGACACCTTCAGCCTCCTCCTCTGTTTGGAGGACACGGTCCCTGATGTCTACAGCACTAGAGCTCTCTGCTCAATCACCTCTGGTTCTGTCTGCCCAACGCAAGGATCAGCAGGGAAGCAGAAGGTAGTGGAACAAGTCTGGAATTCCTATGCTTCCTGGTTTCTGGTAGTAGCTACAAAAGTAAGGTAGTAACTCTCCTGCTTAGAGATCTGTCTCAATTTTAACTCTCAATAGTTCTATAAAGGATGGGGCCACGGCACTGACTTCTCATGTTACTACAGCCTCCGACTCCTTGTTCCAGCCCTTAACTTTGACTGAAGGCTACAAACTATCTGCTGATGCCACCTCCCTAGAATAGAGTTCTGCTGCTGGCTCAGGTTGACTAACACTTCATGTACTTACCTTTCTGGAGCCAGCAAAGCCTTCAGACTCTGTGAAGAAATATGCAAAGGGCATAAGGAAGACGAGGGACAGATTGGAGAAGAGGAAGACGAGGTTCCAAAGACCTAGAGGAAAAGCAGAGCTGGTCATGGAGACTGATCAACAGGTGGGAGACATGACTGCCGAACCTGAGGCTGCCGGGTCTCCTACTTACTTGCCCAACTCCCTACCCCACGCTCTGGTCCAGCCACATACCATGGATGAGGGAGCCGTTGAGCCACTGGATGTAGTAGTTGCGCGGCAACGAGAGCAGCACCTCGTTGCTGATGATGGAGAACGGCAAGAGTAAGACGGCGCCCAGGGCGACCGCCAGGGTAAAGGTGCACAGCTCCAGTCTACGAGGGGAAAAGGCTATGTCAGCCCAGCACTTGCCGTCCCTGCTGCTCTAGAAGCCATTTCTTTCCCAAGGGCACTCAGGGCTTTTAGAACCAGCGGTAGCGATGGGAAGGAGCTATCCATCTGGGCTCTGCCCACTGCTATCCCAGCCTAGTCCTCACCTACAGGGTAGCCTTGGCACATAGGATGGGCACAGCTCAGGCATTCATGGGTACCTCGTTACCTGCCATGTCACTTGTCTGGGCTATCCCAGGACCATGATACATCCTACAGGGCCCAGCAGTAATGCTAACAAAGCAAGGGGTGTGGCTCCTCCTCTCTGCTTAGGGATCCAGGGTCTGAGCTTGCCTCTTTAGATAAGAGTTTAGACACTCCATATGGTATGCCCTTTAAGAAGGCATTAGCACAGAGGATAAAGGCCAGCTAAAACCCAACCTCATAGGGCTGCACCAGCTGGAAACAAATTCACAAACGCAGACTAGAGCCTTCCCGTCTATCAATGCAGAGGGCATCTCCACATTCCTCTGTAGGTGCTGCTACTGACCAGACAGTGCCTATAGCGAGCCTCTCTTCTAAGAACCAAACATTCTTTGCCCTCAGGATTTTTTTTGAAGGGGTGGAGGGGGTTGAGACAAGGTTTCTCTGACCCCTCAGGAGTTTTTAATTTTCACCAAACCCTGTTCTGTTTCCATCAGCCTGTCTCCCCCTTCCATTCCCCACCCATGTTGACAGGAGGTGAAGCCAAGCTTAAGCCATTTCTTGGTGACTCAGGCCCTAGCCAACATCCTGATCGTGAGGCTCCTAGAAGCTCCTGGCCTAACCAGGGAGACAGGAAGAACAGCTTTTCCAGCATCCCTGGGTTGAGGTAAAGCCAGAAGATGGCAGAAACAGGGTGGAAGTAGGAACTCATCTCATTGGATGGATGACAGTTCCTTTTCTCCCGCCTCCAGGGGACTCCAGATCCCAGCTCCTAAGTCACTGGAGTTGGGCTTGAGGGTAGTGACACTCACGCAATCTTGTTAACTGTGGCATCTTCATCATCCACTGCAAGAGACAGATAGGAAAGGGAAGCACCAAGACATCAGAGGGCAGCTCTGGGACCAAATGCCCCCCCCACTGAAGAAGTGCTCACCAAGAGGCTCTGGTAGATTTTAAACTACAGGCCTCACAGCCTGTTCTCCGAACAAGATGCCAGTGTAATGATCAGGGTCCTTGACCGTTACACAGAAGATAGACCCCTGAATTCCCTGCCCCTCTCCTTCCTCCCCACTGTCACTGTCATAACAGGTTCCTCTTTATATGGGCTCAGATACAATAAACACAGGGCAGTCTGTGAGGTTGTTCACATCAGGGCCTGGGTGAGGGAAAAGAAATGCTAGAGGGGAGAAGGAGATTTCCAGAGAAAAGTTCTCAAGGGGGGAGTACCAATGGAGACAGCTTGGCTGGGTGTTTGAGCAGGTTGGGTCTAGGCTCTGAAACAAAGTGTTTTCTGTCCCCATCAGAGATGTATGGGACGAAAAGCCACAGTCTGAGAATACTTAGGTTCTACACAAATAAAGACTATCATCAGCAAACCTTGGGAAGCGCTGGGTCCCAGTGGAAGAGCACTAGGAAATGAGCCAACATAAAACACACACCAAGATTCACCCTGCAGTTGCTACTTAATTAAGGTTTACAGAAGGCTCTCATTTGGTCGTCCCCGTGATAAAGTGGACTTCAGGACGCTTGTTTTGTAGGAAGAAATAGGACTAGAGAAGCCAAATGAAAGCCAGGTGGTAGTGGTGCGTGCCTTTCATCACAGAATTTGGGGGGCAGAGGCAGGCGAATCTCTGTGAGCTCAAGGCCAGCCAGGTCTATATAGTGCGTTCCAGGAAGACTCAACTACACAGAGAAAAAAATTTAAAAAAGGGAAAAACTACTCTGACAGCAATGTGGTAGCATGCACCATGGAGCCCAGGATCTGGGAGGCAGAGACAGGAGTTCAAGACCATCCTTAGATACATAAAGAGTTCAAGGTCAGGCAGGACTACAGGAGATATTTTCTATAAAACAAAACCAAGAGAGAGGTATCTGATTTTGAAAAACCCACAATAAAACATGAGTTTGTTCTCTAACTTAAAAACATATACAAATAAACTAAGTAACAAAAAAGAAAAGGAGAAAGAAGTAAAAGCTATGTAAGGTGCCCAAAGCCCGGAGCTTGGAGACATCTCACCTAGACCTCCCACTCACTTCCCCTCAGCTTTCGTGAACAACAGGGGCTCCAGAGGCAGAGACTGCAGAACAGCCCAGCAGTCCCCTGTCCTCTCCCAGAAGGCACCATCACACCTTCCTCCGAGGCCAGCCCCATGGCAACCAGGACTCTGGCTGCGAGTGGGGAAGTACCTGTGGTGAACTCAGCAGGCTTCTTGAAGCGGGTCAGGAAGATATGGCAGAGGATGTAGAGTGTTGCAAACAGAAGTATTGAGATCTGTGGCAAAAAAAAAAACAACCTGGAATGAGAAGTTCTATAGCCGCTAGCACACTGCACAGCCTCAAGGGCCTCCGTATAAAGCTCCAGACATAGTGGGACTCTCTACATGTCTTAGGTGCCTTCTTTCTAGTTAAGCTACAGGGGGAGGGAGGGAAGGCTTTAAGAAGGACCAAACAGAGGTCGTCCCTGGGAAAACAATGCTAGCCCAGCCCTGGTACTGTGCTGGAGCCACAAGCGTCATGCACACCTTGAGAGGCTAACAGAGAAACTCGTAGAAATAACACATTACGCTCGCACACACGTGCCCCGCATCCTAAATCAGGCCATAGAATGAGAGAGACTGACTTTGAGAACATGCTAGGAAAGGAACGGGATTGAGGAAAAGACGTCTGCGTTGTCTTGGCACGTCCTCTTACTCAACTGCAGTTGCTGTGACGAGAAAGTATGCTCCAGGCACCGCTATGTAAGAGTATCATCTGGAGAGAAGTCAGAACGTCCGCTCCAAACGAGGGGCCGGTTAGCTTAAGAGAAGGCTTTAGTCAGGCCCAACATTTCCAGAGCTGGTAATCTGTCACTTTAAACATAGTCAATCCTGAGACCCTACCACAAATAATTTCCAACTTCAGGGCCAGGTATCATAGGACCCACACATGGCCTTGAGTGGTTAGACCTCCAGATAACAGGACAGAAGCTGGACAGATAATTAGTACAAGCATTACACCTCCATACTACTCCAAGGTCGGAGGAAAAAAAAGAAAAAAAAATGCCATTACATTTGAGGTAGCCACAGACAAGGTCGATCTCGTGTGTCTTCTAATCTCCAAGATAAAACCGACCCTAAAGGAAATCTGTACAGTGACAAAGAAGAGAACAAGAAAGTCCTGCACTTTATACTAAAGTGGTAGCTTTTGATTTAGGGAATCCCTATAGAAGGGGCCAGTAAGATGCAGCTGAATTTTTACAGCAGACTGTTCTGCCCGTTTCGGTCTTGAACTTGGATAATAGCCAAGAAGGTAGAAGAGCTCAAAAGGTCAGGCTTGGAGTCCCACCCACTTCCAGCACAGGCTAAGAGACTAAGCTGTTCTCTCTCTCTCTCTCTCTCTCTCTCTCTCTCTCTCTCTCTCTCTCTCTCTCTCTCGTTTTTCAACACAGGGTTTCTTTATGTAGCCCTGGATGTCCTGGAACTCACTCTGTAGACCAGGCTGGCCTCAAATTCAGAGATCCGCCTGCCTGTGCCTCCCGAGTGCTGGAATTGAAGGCATGTGCCACCACCTTCTATCTAAGTTGTTCTCTAGTTTCTAGATGGAGCCACATGCAGGAGGCACTAGAAACTTTCACCTGCCCTTGGCTGGAGCCAATGTCCTAAGCTAATGGCTTAGGAGGCAGAAACATCCTGAGCCGTTTCTGAGGGCTTATCCCTCCAGGCTGTCAGTATCTCCTAAGGCCTGGATGTGTCTCCATGATATGCCCAATCCCCGATGTGTGCCTCTCCCAAGGAACACATAAGGGATGCCACACCCGTATGCCCTCATTGATAAGGGCAGACCTAGGTATATCTTGTTTCCCTCTACCCTTTCTTCAATCTAAGCGTGCCTAAGGGTAGCCTAAAGCTCAGCCTGAGAAAACTGAAGAATGACTCCATCCAGGCCCTCCCCTTTATCCACTAAGACCTCTTTCCACTCATGTAAACCCTCTCCTTTTCATTTAGTATGTGCAGAGCTCTGTAGAAGCAGCAGAGAGATTATCATTCAAAGCAGGCCCAAAGAAAATATATTTCCCTAAGTCTCACTGGGTGCTCCTACCCTAGAGTCGTACACTGCAGTGTGGAAGGCTCAGCTGCAGTTCTAGGTTACGCTAAGGGCATAAGGAGTACAGGCTAGATGCGCGCAGGATCATGGCAGACCCCGGACCCCCGTGACACCGCCCCACCACACACACACACACACACACACACACACACACACACGCACAGGAGAACTCCCCAAATGGCTGGAAAGCTGGAAACCCTGTCTTCTACAGTGTCAAACAAATTAGTCGGAAGTGGTGCGGGGTGTGTGTCATTGTATTGGCTTGTGTTTGGCACGCTGCATGCCAGAGGCCCAGGATTCAATCACAGAAGGAATGAAAACAACCACTACTAAAGGGGTAGAGAAAACAGGCGAGGAAACCTCGGTGTTCCTCCATCTCCACTCCTTACAACCCATCTTCCTTAGTGGGAGGACCCACTACAGCCCCCACTCTTCCCTCGCCCCTCGCGCTACCACCGCACCTCCCTAGTTAACTGCTCAATGTGACCGGGTCTCTCTTCTTTCCAACATCAGGCATGGTTGCCCTTCATCTACTTTTAAGGGGAACACGCACATCAACTTGTCCCGAAGCAAATCCATCTTTTTGGAGAGGATCAGACGCTGCTCCACACTAAAGGACTCACCGCCAGGAACACCCACGGGGGTGGAGTAGAAGGGGCGGGGGAGGGGCGGGCGGCCGAGGAACGGAAACCTGGCGGCTTTGTTTACGGCTCAGAGACCCAGCCGACTCGACCCGGGAGTTCACTATCCCGGCCCCGGCGCTCGCAGGGGTCGAGGTCCTCGGAGCTCGGGCAGCAGGACTTCCCATCTCCACGGCGGCGCGCCCCTCCCACCTCGGCCCGGCCCCTTCCCGCCCAGGTCCCGGACTCACGATGCACTCGCGGACTCTGTCGTGGAACAGCTGCTCTCGCACGGATAGCACTTCGTAGTCAGCTGCTTCCATACTCTGCTCAGCATGACTGGGACGGGGGTGTCTCCGGGCCCGGGGAGGACGAGCGGGGATGAGGCCGCCGCCGCCCGCCAAGCACCCGGACCCAGCCTAAGAGCCTCTCCTCGCTGCCCGTGACGGAAACTCAAGGTAATCTGGGGCTCAGATTCTGCGGTCGGACGCCCCGCCTTAAAGGGGCAGGCCCCAGCCCGCCTAGTCTTAAAGGGCTCGGGTCCCCTTCGGTTCCCTCCCCTTTAAGGTGGGGTCACTCGCAGTCACGTTTCAACGCAAGTACCCGCCGCCCGGCTACGCGGAAGTGCCAGCCTTGGTGCCCAGTGACGACACAAGGCCTGGGCGGGTTTCTTCGGAAGAGCGGAATTTATTGGCTCCTCGGAGACTGTCGGTCATCGCTAGGGGTGCGCTGATAGGACATCCTGAGAAAAGAGGCGGGATGTTTTTGGCCTGTCGAAGCTGCTCTAAAACGAAGAGTCGGTGTGATCTGCGGTCGAGATGTTCCAGGATATATATATATATATCCGCCAGGATTTTAGTTTAAACGAATTAGGTCGGGATCAGGCCAACCCGTCGAGATGTAAGCACCACGGGGCTTTCAGAAGGGACGGCTGCCTGTAACCTCAAGGACCTATAGCGTTTTCTAGAAGTGTATTTGTTACTGGAGTAACCCCTGCCACTCCAGACAGCTTTCGCACAATTATTTTTGTGGAAGGCCTTAAAATAAGAGAACAAATAGTTAAAAAACAAACAACAACAACAAAAACGAATAGGAGACTTAAAAAAAATGTCATGAAACTTTTGTTTTGTTGAGACAGGTCTTGCTATGCAGACCAGGCTAGCCTTGAATTCTCCGCGATCTTCCTCAGCTTCCTAGTTGATTGCTAAGTAATAGTCATGTGCTACCAGGCCCAGGCTATCCCAAAACTGAGGAAATGTCATATTGGTGAGTCGACTGAGTAAAACATTAGCTCCCAAACGTTAACTACCTGCTATGTGCTGTTTTCTTTATAGCCTTTCTCTAATTTTAGTCATAACAGGAATTTGAGACTAGAAAATAGAGGTTGGCCCGGTCCTACTTGAGGCTTAGAAACCAGCTGGGCATTGTGGCACACATCTTTTATTTCAGCACTAGGAAGGCAGAGGCAGGTGGATCTATAAATTCAAGGCCAGTCTGGCCTTTACGTATGTTTTAGGCCAACCAGAGTAACATGGTGAGAACTTGTCTCAAAAAAAACCAAAAAATACATCATCCTTGTGTATACATTTATGTTTACATAGTTGGTCCACTGCGTTGTTGGGTTCCACATCTGTGGGTTCAACAATCTCAAAAACAAAAGGAAAACAAGAAAGCACCTGGGAGGGGTAGCTATAGAGATGGTTCAGTTGGTAAAGGGCTACCCTGCAGGGAGGAAGAGCTAAGCTCCATTCCTAGCACCCACAATTAATTACTAGTGCATGCTGGTGAACCCAGCCCTGAGGCTGGGCTGGGGAGGTGCGGACAGGAGGACCCCTAGGGTTTACTGATTAGATGTAGCCCCAAGTCTTCGTGAGAGACCAAGTCTAAAAACACATCTGGGATACTAAGAGAGACCCTGTCACAAAAAACAACAGCAGAATACATCTGGGGTTGGTAAAGAACTTAGCATGTGCAAGATCTTGGATTTGATCCCTAACACCATGAAAAAACAATCTTGGGAACAAAATTATGTCTGTACTGAACATGTACAGATTTTGTGTTCTTTTTGTTTGTTTGTTTGTTTGTTTGTTTTTTGAGACAGGGTTTCTCTGTGTAGTTCTGGCTGTCCTGGAACTCACTCTGTAGACCAGGCTGGCCTTGAACTCAGAAATCCACCTGCCTCTGCCTCCCAAGTGCTGGGATTAAAGGCATGTGCCACCACCGCCCAGCTAGGTTTTGTGTTCTTGCCATTATTCCCTAAGCTATTTACATGACATTCACACTGTATTAAGGATTATAGGTGCTCTAGGGTGGATTCTAAATATTCTGGGTGATATGCATACGTTATATGCAAATTCTATGTTGTTAGGGTTTTTTTGTTTGTTGTTTGTTTTTAAAACAAGGTGTCTCGCCGGGCGGTGGTGGCGCACGCCTTTAATTCCAGCACTTGGGAGGCAGAGGCAGGCGGATTTCTGAGTTCGAGAGTTCGAGGCTAGCCTGGTCTACAGAGTGAGTTCCAGGACAGCCAGGGCTACACAGAGAAACCCTGTCTCGAAAAACCAAAAAAAAAAAAAAGAAAAAAAAAAAAAAAACAAGGTGTCTCTCTCTACATAGTCCTGGCTTTCTTAGAACTCAGTATTTAGAGAGGGCTGGACTCAAATTCACAGAGATCCTTCTGCCTCTCCTCCTGTTGCTGGAATTGTAGACATGTGCCACCATGCTCCATTCTACACCATTGTTTTAAGATTTACACTTATACATGTGTTCTCTCTCTCTCTCTCTCTCTCTCTCTCTCTCTCTCTCTCTCTCTCTCTTGTGTGTATGCTCTGTGTGTGCGTGTGTGTATATGTATGTACATGAGAGCAAATTCACGCCAAGATGCATGTGTGGAGGTCACAGGACATCTCTGGGGAGCTAATTTTCTCCTTGCACAGTGTGGATCCCAGCAACTGAAGGGAGGTTATCAGACTTGGCCAGCAGATGCTTTTAAACGCCACCAGAGTCCTCAGATACTTATTTCAACTATGAGAGTCATTGTGCTTTAATGACAGTATTGAAATGCAAATCAGGTTTGGCAGAGGTGTGTTGGTACAGGCCTGTAATTCCAGCACTCAGAAGCACAGAAGGACGGAAAGGTTGAGGCAGAAGGGTGTAGGTTGGCCAGTTCCGGTTAGTAAATTCCAGTCTAACTGGGACTACCTAACAAGACCTTGTCACAAAAATAAACTCAAAATAGACATGGTCTCAACAAAATAGAACAAAGGTAACTAAAAGGCCTAGAGTCAAACCAGAGCATTTCATTCCTGTTAACTGGCATGCGTAAGATTCAGGTCTATGATGTGCCAGGTTAGGCATGGTGTGTAGAGAAACATGAAGGGCCTAGCTCCTCCCTGATAGAACTTAGAACCTGTAGGAATGATAAACAGTGAGGAGGAGGCCGGGGATGTAGTTCAGTAGGCAGAATGCTGCCGGAGCACCCAGAAAACCCAGAGTTTGCTCCCCAACAATGCATAAATGGGTCAGGCAGTGTATACATCTGTAGCCTCAGCACTTGAATACAGAGCTCAAGGCCAGCCAGAGGTACATGAAACACTGTCTTAAAAAATTTTTAAAATGCAGCTGGGCAGTGGTGGTGCACGCCTTTAATCCCAGCACTTGAGAGGCAGAGGCAGGCAGATTTCTGAGTTCAAGGCCAGCCTGGTCTACAGAGTGAGTTCCAGGACAGCCAGGGCTACACAGAGAAACCCTGTCTCAAAAAGCAAACAAACAAAGAAAAAAAAATTAAAAATGCAATGTGGTGGCGTACACCTTTAATCTCAGCACTTGGGAGGCAGAGGCAGGGAGATGTCTGAGTTTGAGTCCAGCCTGGTCTACAGAGTGAGTTTCAGCACAGTTAGGGATACTCAGAGGAAACCCTGTCTTGAAAACCCAAAATATAAAAACATAATGTGTCTGCAGCCAAAAGGACCACTCAATGAGGAGGCTGGAGAGAGGCTCAGTGGTTAAAAGTACTTATGGCTTCTGAAGAGGAAAGAAACAGGGGTCCAGCACCTAGAGCAGGTGTACCTCCAGTTCTAGGGAGTTCCAATAGTCCTGGCCCCTTAAGGCATTCATCCACACACAAAGGACACATTGAGGTGGTTTGAATGACAATGAACATAGGCTCATTATATTTGAATACTTTGTATCCAGATGGTGGAACTGTTTGTGAAGGATTAGGAGGTGTGGCCTTGTTGGAACAGGCATGCTACTGGAAGTAGGCTTTGAGATTTCAAAAGCCCCTGTTCCCTCTCTCTCTGCCTCCTGCTTGTGGGTCAGATGTAAGCTCTCAGCTACTGCTCCAGTGCCATGCCTGCCTGCCTGACCCACGCTCCTCACCATGATGGCCATGGACTCACCCTCTAAACTCTAAGCCCCCAATAACCTCTTTTTCTATAAGTTGCTTTGGTCTTAGTGCCGCATCACTGCAACTTAAAAGTCACTAAGATGCAAATTGGTACCAGGAAGTGGGTCGTTACTGTGACAGACCTGACAATGCTGGTTTGGGGGGACCTTGGAAGACTTTGGGACTTTGCACTAGGAAATTTAATGAATGTTGTAATTGGGGCTTAAGAGACAGTAGTACTGGGGTCAGTGTGAACTATGGAGGGCCAGCTCCAAAGGTTTCAGAAGGAACAATATTAACAACTGGGCTAGAGCCATTCTTGTCCTGAGAATCTGCCTGAGACTAAACTGAAACGTTTGCCAACTTGAAACCCTGGCAGAGGGGACTTCAGACAGTCTCATGCTGACCCTGTGTTTAATCATTAGTTAGCAGTGCTCCTCTGCAGCTCCTCCAGGAGAGAGAGCACGTGGGACAAAGAGAAACACAAAAGGAACAGGTGAGGTGACAAAGAGCGTCGGGAAACGTAAGGCTGGAGCCAAAGCTTGTGCTGAAGGACGGAGGAAGACCTGATGCAGAATCCAGCAAAGGGAGTGGTGGCCTCAGACCAAGGCCCCCACTCAGCTAAGTGTGCAACTACACAACAAAGGAAAGCAACCAATCAAATCTCATGCAAATATAATTCAAGGAAGGGGCCAGGTTCCAAAGAGCCAGCCTAACATGGCAACATCAGCTACATAGTTCCTTCTTTCTTTCCTTTCCTTCCCTTTCCTCCTCCCCTCCCCCACTTTTTTTGGCCTTTTTTTTTTTCTTAAGATTAATTTATTTTATGAGTACACTGCCATCCTTTTCAGACACACCAGAAGAGATAGTTGCCATTCCAGATAGTTGTGAGCCACCATGTGGTTGACCTCGGGTCCTCTGGAAGAGCAGTCAGTGCTCTTAACCGCTGAGCCATCTCTCTCACACTCCTTACAACCCCCCCCCCCCTTTTTTTTTAAGAGTTTCTCTATGTAGCCCTGGCTGTCCTGAAAATCACTCTATAGACCAGGCTGGCCTCAAGCTGAGAGAGACCTACCTGCTTCTGCACTTCCCGGCTGGGACTGCTGCTACCACCACTGCCACCCAGATGGTTCTTTCTTTTGAGTCTTGAAGGATACAGGAGTAAAGGAGTTGTAGCATCTTCCCCCATGATAAAAGGAGAACCACTGTGGCCAGGTGAGTGGCAGGGAGTCCCCTCCTGGAGGT